ACCGTGAAAACAGAACGACTGTAACGTAGCACTGCAGTAATTTTCTTTATAAGACTCCAGGAATCAAAAAAAGAGTTATACAATGTTGCGATAGAATGTAAAATCCAGAAACTAGATATCACAATCCGCTTGTAGTTGAACTGTTCAGATCTTCTGCATTAGTATGCGTTATGCTCGAGTAACCACTCCAATGCTGATTCCTTGATGAACCGGCCAGACGTCGTTCATCTTCTGGTGTTATTCCAATTATCCCCTGCAATCAAAACAAATAACTGTTGACAAATAGACCTAATGAAGGTATGTTACACAAAAGCCATTCAAAAAAAAGAGAAAATATGCATGCATAAAAGGAATTACTTCCTTTGTGAAACTGCAGCTACCATGATAACCACTAAGCACAACTTTTTTGTATTCCATATAATGTATAAAACGAAAATAAAGATAAAAACTGAAAACCAATTTAGCCTCATCACATATCTAACTCTATAGACGAATATGATGAAGTGTGACAATCTCTGACTATATTTTAATCAATAAATTAAAACAATACTGTTTTCATCACAAGCATTATCACTTCATTTTTATTTGTTAGACTAAAGACGGAGTAATTAGATTATTTGGTATTAACAAAAACAAAGAACAAGACATTGAAACAAAAGAAAAAACCTGGAGAGGTTTTAGTACTGACCGGTCGTGTTGGGTTTGAATGCTGCAAAGAACATGACTTGTTATGACAAAATGTTTTAGTCTAATACTGCCAGCATAAAATGACCCCTATATTTTTTTACAGACAAGCTACTACTGCCCTATATTTAAATCATATTTATTTATAACGTTGTTTCTTACTCCTGAATGATTCATGTTTTAGTCACGGTCATTAAACACTTGAAAATTCACGTCTAGCCATTTATTAATATATTCCCTATTTGACAACAAAAATGTTATAGCAATTAAAAATGATAGTGACCTGGGTATACTGTTGATACTGAGGATGGAAATTGTGAATAGCATCTTGCATTATATCTTTAGGGTTCATTGTTTCCTTTAACGAACTACTAATACTTTGTAATGTAACTGGCCGCCCACCAACGCTGTTGTTCAAAACTATAAGCGTTTCATTTCGAACATTTCTAGCGCAAGTCTCGTTATTGAAATACAAGACTAGTCACAAACAATTCAAATATATTCAAGCTATTTATAGTATAGATTAATCAACAACAGAAATACCGAACCGGACAATTTATATATCGCGGGAAAGATATTCTCAACTGTAACAAACCTGTAGTAGGGTCAATGTATGCACTTATGCTGAAAGCATATCTAAGAGCCACTGCAGCAAAAAACATTTCAACACAAATAAAGAAGTTCTGCCACGCTGCAGCAACGGTACCACGAGATATAACTTCATGACCATCTTCATCGTAGATTGGATCGATAGCAGAAGTTGAACCAAGTACAGCGAGCAAAAACCCTGAAATTAGGACGTCAACTAAAAAAATTAAATTAAAGTGAGACTTTTAAGTTCGTCTACAAGGTCTCTACCATTTACACTACAGAATAATCATTAATGTTAGCAAATCATCTGCTAAACATAAAACTGAGTAGCGTGTAGTTTCTACTTACTCATTGGTTCTTCTATATAATAAATACAAAATATTCCAAGTGTATCTGTAAACTAATTAACCTTGCCAGAAGGACAGGAAAATCACAGATTTGACTGTGAGGAATTTTAAAACAGGTCGGTATGGAGAAAGCAGATCACGGGTTGCAGTGTAAAACAGAAATAACCCGTAAAGAGCCAAAGATACCGAAACATTGTAAACAATAGTTATGTAAAGATAACCTTGATCACCACTAAAAAGTCAAAAACATTATTAAGTGACAAGTTTTGGCAACTGAAAGAAAAACCTAACAAAACGAAACAAGAAACTAGCTGAAACCTCTCAAAGGAATCAAGATAACTTACAGAACATTATACTTAGGTTGGTTATATAATCAGAACTCCATCCTCAATCCTTAAATTACGTGCACTCCTCAACTAAATCAGTTCCATCCTCAACTAAATCAGGTGCACTTGAAAATGATTTAAAAAGACCTCCAATTTCCATCTTCGTACTTCCCCATAATCATTAAAATAACCGTAAGCGTTGCCATAATTGGTTTGATGATACAAAACTGAAGAGTTGCTTGCTTACAAAAACGCAAAAATTCTATCGTGTATTGCTTTCCACTTAAACAACAAGTGCACGTATAATAAGTTGTTGGTCTGAAATTCACAAAATTGTTTTTGCTGAAAAACTGCCCAAAAGCATAAAAGCAATGATATTAAGAACTTATAATTTAATAGATAAACCTTCATTTCGCGAAACATTTATTGCATTTTAAAGTTCTCCAACTTAGATTTTGCGTATCGACAAATCAAAATTTACCGGATAGGTTTCCCTCGTATTTCCGCCATTATATTACTTTCACCACCCAGATATTCGTAGCATAAACTTAAGAAGCTGTATATAACAAATGCTGAAAGCGAATTACGACAATTTAAAGCTAATGAGAGTAACTACTTGAAACTACGAAAAGAACATAGTGAGTAAATTCATACCTTCGTAACAGTCTCGAATAGCATTAAAATATACATACACATTGTTTGAAAGGAAAAGCAGACTCAACCACGAATCTAATGAATACATCGGTACAATAAATAAGATACGTACAATCCAACGTTGCTCGATTGGGCAAGTATACCATCGTAAATGTTGAAAGATCTAGAAATACAACATTAAAAGAGTGCCACATAAAAGCAATTCTTTTTGCATTTTTAACAAAGCAATGAAAGCATAATTAAGCTATTTAGTTTTAAACATAATGGCTATTTATTTTGTTTGAAATTCATGAAGGCATTTATAGCAACAAATTTTATCATGGAAAGAATTGTGAAACGAGGAAAATAGCACTATAAAATTATTTCTGTAGAGTGGAAAAAATGGAAAGCAATAATTTCACTACTGAAAGACCAAAATGTTCAATAGCCGTTTAAGAACTACAGAATCCTCTTTCTGTTGTGCACTGACGACAAAGATTACTCTTAGGTTCACAACCGTCGTCCATTGTACGTTACTATGTGCAGGAAACTTGTTACCTGATAGGACGTAATGATAAGGGCAGCCCAAGTGAAAAATCCAGCAACACCACGAGCAAACGTGGAACGAAGAAACAAGTCATCCGACATCGTTACATTTGTCATTCCTTTTCTGAAACAAAAGCTGAAGTTGTAGTGAGAATTTCCTAGTTAGGATACAAAATCTTTGATGACAATGAACACTACATCTTACAAATGTCTGAACTTGTTTGCATTTGAAACAATGTTCAGACCAAACAAAGTTGTAAAAAAAGATCTTTTCCATTGGATGAAGTCCATAATTTGAGATTAGCAAAAGCTTTTAGGAATGATGGATGATAAAAGATAATCACTGAATGCGGGAAAAGTATAGCAAATTATGAAAAATATAAAAAACAGTGCTCGAGATAGCAATCAGTCAATAATGCAGCTGTGAAAAACAACGAATTGTCAATACCTACGAAAATGGTTCCATAGTTTTGAAGTCAGTTCCGAACAGGTGAAGACTTTCATTAGTATATATCAACAAAGACTGAACAAAGTAATTCAAATAGATTTTGATGCTTGATAGAAAAGAATGTTACTTTCCTCATAATTTCATTGAATGTCATCAGCTTTAAAAGCTGCGTGATTATTTTTACAATCAATAAGGTTTGCATGTAACAGGTTTGTAGGTATATGTTGTGCATAACAACGTGAATTTGAGAGTTATATCTCTAACCAAAGAAAGTACCACAAAGTGAATATCCATATCACTCAATACTTTTTTACGTGAAAGTAAAAAATAAACACTACAAAATTTTTGTCCTTGCTTGTCTTTACAATATTCTATCTACTGGTAGTAGATATCATACTTCACACAACTCTATGACTAGGCACTGAATACATTTGGGCATATTTTTTGCTTGTCAATTATCAGCACAAAATGAATAAATGGATGAGAATAGCTAGCAATCACTAACAACAACTAAAGGCTTTTTAGCAGTTATCAGCAAGGCTATACTCTGCATTTCACCTTCACATCTAACTATCTCAACTACTAAACTAAACTTATTCAATACTTTGCACTAAACGACCACAATTCTATCTACTCCTTCTCTCTTCACTTACATACACACATATATGTTTAATATGAAGTAATCTAACTTCCTTCATTATATATTACAATACAAACATTACTACGTTGCAGTTCTACAGACTAATAGTTCCGTACACGTTTATTCATTATGACAAAATTTGTGCAACTAAGTACGTTTATGTATGTATGCGTTTGTATGTATGTATTCATGCATGTTTGCACGAGCAACCATCAAATTGTATCAGCAGTAATTTAAGGATATCGCCACCGCCTATGGCAGACAAAACATCCTGCATAACCAAGAATTTTAACAACGGATGCTGTAACATCAATCAATAATTGGTGCAGTACATAGAGCACACAAAACGCCAACATGCAATCAATAATCCACCTCACTGCCACATCCATTTGCCATTACACATCTTATAGTAGTTGTCAGGATGATTGAGTGTAATAGCTACTTACAGCAAAATTTATCTTTTTATTACTTTGATGAGTTCGTTATGAAAAAATTTTTCTCCACCCGCGTGAATAAATCAAATCTTTGATAAATTTTTTAAATTGAGAAAACAAGAGTTGATATGTGTTTAATTTCAGCTCTTAGTTTTTGAATTCGTTCAATTTGTTCTTGAAAAGTAATTCTTTCAGTTATTAATAGAAAATACCTGAACATATTCTAATTATATGCTCAAATTAAACCTTTTGCAGTAAAAGAAACTTATAGTAAGTAAATAGGCAAGATATATAATTCAGTATTTTGGATGCTCATTAAAAGGGACAAAGTACAGTGATTAGCTTCAAGATGCGTAGATTCGCTATCACTTCTTTGCAACTATATTATAACACAATGGATGCGCGTTTAAAACAGATTAAGATCAGGTGGTATTAGCATTAAAATGAAGAAAAATCTGCGCTAGAAATGACGAATGCACAAACCTGCACAATACAGAGCTTAAAAATAAATAATAATTCATGATTCGCATCGTTTTAAGTTCTCCTTCTTTTCCAATAGTATTGGCATTTAATTTATGCAACGAAGTTTGTCTTGTAAACAGTTTTATGTTTGTTTTGAAAATAATTTCATGAATGCTACATTTGTGACACTACTTCATAGTAGCCATACTTTGCATAATATTTGTAATAGTTTTTAAATTTAGCAATAAATAATTTCTTAATTTGCGCATCTAAAAGAGATATATTGTGTTGGGTTACAATAAGTTGCATAAAGCATTCTTGTTCCAAGTTATTATCATGGATAATTAATTGCAGCACTGCAGGATACTGCTTGTACAAATTGGGTTTGAAGGATACTGAATCGAAAATTTAAAAAAAGAAAAGTCTATTATCACGTAAAATTACTGACAATTTAGTTCAGGTTGTTATAAAAATTCATTATACTTCGGATGGCACAGATGAATTGATTTTTCTGTTATTTTTTTCTGCAACACAATTTTGATCTCAACAAATAGCGCCAAGTACTTTTCTCCACACTACCATACGCATATGACATCAGTTGACTTTTATTATTCTTATTGGTTACTTCTTCTTTCTTATCATTACAAAGGTATCGTCTTCTTATTAAGCTATCGTGAGCATAAGTTTCTACTATTTTCTATCATCGTCTAAATGTTAGTGAATATTTTCACAATACCTTTGATACTCCTTTTATTTGTATTTAAGATCTTTGGGTATCTGTTAATTGTCACGGACTACGTTTCGGTGAACTTGGTATATTGAAAGGACGCGGTTTATTTACATTTTCACACTTTCGATTCAACGAAAATGTACGGAGAACAAATCTGCAGCTCAGATGAATCACTGAAATCTGTACGTTACAATATTCAGTGTCATATCGAAATTTCAGTCAGTTATTATTTTAGTCTAATCAAATGATATAGGTGACAACAGCTGAGGAATTCGTAGTGGTATCGAACGCGATGGGTGGCAAGGGTATAGAAATTCCCGTTTGCCCTACTCACGGAGTCCTACACATGAAGATGCTTAAAAGCATTTTCAAGGACGCCACTGGACTGAAATACCGAAATCCCGATAGCGGTCTAGATAGAGTGCTTCTGTACGTTCATTTCTATACCATTAAATCATTATTAAGAAACTAATCATTATATTTACCGCTAGAAAAGTTTTGTTCATGCAGTACTGCGTCCGGTATTTACATACCTATCGTGATGTTGGGAAGTGTAATAAGGTGAACACCATCATGAAAAACATTCATACCTTTCGCTGAGCGGACTTCAATTTAGAATGCGCCTAAATGTTTATGTATGTATAACTTCAATTAGTTTTCGGTATAGCTGTTATATTTACTGCGCAAGAGATTAGTGCAAGAATTAAGTAACTTGATATTATCAGAGATTCTTGCGCATGTTGTCAATTATTAGCCTATATCTGTACCATCTTTGTAGGATGGACCATGATGAGACGTTTTTCATAACGCCAATAGGTGGATGGAAAGACAAGACGTTCACAGTCGTACGTCCAACTAAATTCGGTCGGTTACAATAGCTTTCATTAGTATTTTAACATAATGATACAAGCACTGTTAAATTTAGAGCATCGATTTTGGTGATTATACCACAGGCTTACATTATTCTAGCTCGCCAACCAGGAAACCAAAAGAAACAAACCAAGCGAGCGTTAGCCAATAAATTCAAAATGATGGCTAACGCCGAAGGCAACACAGAAACAAAAGCACGATCCACTCCATCAGGTGCGAAAGCTAGTGCCGTCTCGGTAGGTCCCGAAAATGCTAGCTAAAATATTCAGATCCACTGAAGACCGTCGTCTGTTTGTTTCACTGTATTTTCATCATTTTTTTGTAGTTTCTTCGTTAGTTTTCGCATAATAAAGGCTTTTATTAACTTCAGCCCACTCACATTTATCAACTTTTCTGATACAATTCTATTCTCTTGCTCTTAACTTATTTTCAAACAAAACTGCATCTAATTTCACATATCAAGATTTTTAAGATTATAATAGACAGCTTCTTCTTCAAGTAATAATGCATAGTCACAGCTCTAACCGTGATTCCTACGAACATAAACAGTGTTGAGATGGGATCAAAAGAAAAGACAACAGGTGATTAGTCATATCTTAGTAAAACAATGTGATGTGAGCGTTACCACCTGACACAAAACATGTTAGTACAAGCACGTTTCCAAGTCATACCTGTGATTTGACAGGAACCATAAGTAATAAGCCAATAGATAATGAAGGAACTAGTCCCTTACGGAGATCAATATTTCTTAAAAGCTGGCTCCCAGCATCTTTAATAGCTCATCCTTATTTTCAGTGAAGTAATCCGATACTGTTGCATACGGACTTCTCTCACATTTCTTGATTTGCTCCTCTATTGACTGCTTTTGACCATCCTTCGTACCCCTCACACTATGTCGAGTTGATTGTCCGATCCTTCTAAAATACATAAATGATATATCCGTCTTCAAACATTCAAAATTGTCACAAGTAATGAGTGATTAACAAAAATATTGATGCTAAACAATGATCGACAAACCTTTGCACTTGTGGTACAGCAATTTCTATAGAAACGTATTCAGAACAGTAATTGTGGATTCTTGATAATTCTTCTAAAATTGCCACGTTCGTTATATATTTCACAAGTCCTGCACTCTTTAGCGATCCCTGCATACAAATGAATTTGAAGTACAAATAGTCCATTATTTGATGTGTACACATTTTTTGGATACAGCATAACATTTAAGAAAAATTTTCATTCAAAAATAATTATAGTCTTTCTTCATACCTTTGCTTCTACATGTCGCATGATGCGATTAAAGCATTTATATCCTTTACCAGAGAAATCAATCTGCGATAAAATAAGAAGAGCGCCAAGTAATCGGTCATTTTCGTGGTCCATTGCTGTTGATGTATAAACCTCAAATAAGTTTTCATAAAATTCGAGAAATTTGATGTTTCTGTAAACAAAAGTAGTGTTATGACCTTAAAACACCATTTGTAAAATTGCATACTGCTCAGTTCCAACTAAATAGTATTTAAATTACCCGAAATAATATATGGTAGGCGAGGTCAAAGACAATATTTCTTAGTCGTTTTCTGTGAACAATAACGAAGGAAGGCTAAAAATAAAACATTAAAAGAATCATACAAAAACGGAAACCACAAACTAGGCAAACAAATATCTAACGAGTTTTCTTCAAAAGTTGAAGAAAGCTTAAGCATAGAAACAAAAATTTGCAGCATACTTGTTGAAGAATTACCTACCTGTGGGACTGAAACCTCTGTAGCCGACGGCTCTGGTGTATGTTCAATCTCAGCACACTACAAATAACATATGAAGTCTGATAATTATAATGTGAATTGTAATCTGCTCACTTGAGTTTCTACAATAAAATTTTATTTCTAAAAATAATTCTGATGCACTCTAGGATCGGCTTGTATAGGAATCGTATTCAGCCCATTAGTAAGTATGATTGGCTTGTTTTTCTTTTTGTACGTGAAAACGCTACAACTTGAGCAACAAATAATAAAAAATTATAGAACTTACAATGCTTTCATCATTTCCAGTTGCTATGCTGAGCATAGAGATCACATTTTCACATGCATCAGGCCAATTTCGACCTATGCATTGACCACAAGCAACTTGAAAATGAATTAATTCTTTCAGAGAATCGTCATTATTTTCAAACTGCTGAAAATGAAGAAAAATGACTTCTTCATGATCTTTGGAATTAATATGCTCTTTAAAGGCATACAAAATCAAAAAACCGAAAGGAACTAAATACTTCGAAACATTAGACGACACTCACATCACCAGCATAAACTACCAACTCATTGACTTTGCTTTTGAACAACAGAGATTCGATGATTAACAATTTAATATCACTGTTATACGGGACAAAATATAGGTGTTCAGCAATAACTGAGGAAGGTGAAGCCACAAAAGCAGAAAGTGCTGTACAACAAAGTTCATAAACTTCACATAACTGAAATCTATAAGAAATTGGAGAGAAATTGTTATGGCTATTCATATCACATCCAGAATACATTTAATTCAGTCACATTTTCTGTGCTTATGCAGCTTTTTCCGAAAAGTAGCATTAGCGACAAAAAGTCAAATGAAATGAGATAGAAAAATGAGAGTTCATGAATTTAGAATAACCTCAGGACGTGACGACATCAGATATTCCGTAGCAGCAATACTAAATTCTTCTCTTCGTTCTTTTATCCGAGCTTTCTTGGAGGAACTAGTACCATCACTGCTGCTGCTCAATAATTTATCAACATCCATTACCCAATTATCTTCAGGGATCCAAGCAAGCACCTCACCTAAGCCAATCGAAAAATGCATGCAAGTCATACTGATTCCTCTTCAGGAAAAACATCACATACTGTAGAAACATCAATATTCACACTATAAAGATTCGATACCATCTAGAAATATTAAAAAAATGCAAACTACCTTTATCAACGTTGGCCCTCCATTTAGAGTAAGCAAACCACATGAAAAATAGAAAAGCTATTTTACAAGCTTCGCTTTTCAGACTATATGCTTTATCAACAATAGTTGAAAGACTGCTACACCCACTGAAAACTTAAAGAAATATGTTTTCTGCACATCGAATTAATTAGCATACTTCATGAAGAACTCTTTGCTCATTCTAAACTACACTTTACCTCATATTTAGAGATAAATTAACTGGTGTTCCAAAGTCATATAATGAAACACATTTATCAAACAATGCAGCAGCTATTTTAAAACTCTCTTGTGAGAAATTCTGTGCTTCAGCAACATAAACTGCGGACACTGTCCTGAAATCAGGTAATAATTTCTTGATGTTCATAATCAAAAATGATGAAATTGCATCAATAAACTCTTCTGCGAAGAAGGGAAAGAAACAAGAAATATAAACGCTAATTGAAACGAAGACTAAATATTTATACTTTTCTATAAAATGAGGGGTAATGCTCTTAAGAATTAATTATAACCGTAAAAGGTTGGTCCAAGTTTCATGATACTTTGGCCATGCAACTGCAACATGAAGAACAGTGATGATGATATTTAAGGCTCTGCTTACTGCTATGTTTGTAAAATCCAATTTCATAAGAACAGGAGCAACAATAACAGCTAGAAAAAATTCAAATAAAGTTAAGCTTAATGCACGGTGGTCTATAGAATGTTAGTAAAACTCGAGTATATTATATTCACAAGATTTAAGCAAAAATACTGTAGGCAAATAATTTATAAATTCTTAGATACATAGTTATGCACTACATACTTTTCCTTTTTAAAATTAACATGTCATTAAAAAATTTTTGAAACATTTCCACGCACCTAAGTAAACATGATATTTTCCGATGCCATTTACAAGTTCTTTGTCATTGTTAGCTCTTTCTGTCATGAATGTTACAGCTCGATTCTAAAACGGTCTGACCACATTTTCTGCTATTAAAAAAAACAATTTTGGAAAACTATGTACTTTTTCTCCTTCTAGCAAAATGAATTCCGTCAAATATATCAGTGATGCAATGACTTTTTAACGCAGTCAAACATCCCAAAACACAATTTATGAAGATTACCAATAATTTGTGAAACTTCTTGCCATCTGCATAACGAGAGCAAAAAAGAAGCAACCTCGTTTTCAGAAGATCATCATTGTCAAAACGCTTCGTTAAAATAGTAATAACAGATTCAAATGCATCGTTTGAGAGCTCCGTGAATAAAGCTAAAAGTATGACTGCTATTTTAAATTCCATCTTCAGCGTTAAGTCTTGAACTTTTCTGAGACAAATTCTAATGCTATTTTCTTTATAAACAGTTGAACCATAATTTGTTATTCCTTTAACAAAACATTTATATATGTGATGGAGCAAATTATTTATTCAACTGAATGCAAACTTTTTGGTGTGCTATATTATGATACAGAAATTCGAACTTTTCTCAGTACAGCTTTCAAATGATGATGCTTTCAGGAAAGTTTGAAGTATCAAAGACCACATTTCGTCAGTAGCATTTGTTTTTATGCTGAAATAAAGGATTATCAACAGAATCTCGAATACATTTCTCATTGATATAAAAAACCTGCCTATATATGCTAATCAAAATGAAGGTAAACAAATTTGAAGAGCAAGAATATTAAGAATATTATGACAAATTTATGATTCTTATATCACCCCTAGTTCTTAAAATCAAAATATATGAATTAATTGCGGTAATTAAACAATAATTATTGCTGAAAATTACATTCTTTCAAGAACTGGTGCAGCCTCAAACGGACGATCCCATTTCAAGTAAAACTGGAATTCCGTTATCTGCAAAGTAATGTTGACAATTATGACGAGAAACTTTCTAACAAAAACTGCTAATACAGATATATAGAAACACTTTATTTGATACATAAACAACATCTGAAAGCAGATCTGAAAATCTTTAATGAAATCTCTCTGTTTATCTACAGTTACTTGCATCATATTCAAACTGATTGAAATCAGGATATAGAACAGCCAGTCGATAATGCGATTTGCCGATCAAAAAATCTTTTTCTTCTGCCAAGCAAAGTTCGAAGTGCTTCCTGGCTGAATAATCCATAAAATCTTTCATTGTATCTATAACTAACTTATATATATATTTGTCAGCTTACAAGAATTTAATCAAAAACAAGTGATATAAGGACTGCAATAGAAGCCGAAGCCATCGGGCAAAAACGTTCATGCTCTTACCATCATTTACTATTATTTGATAACAAAATGCAATCTACACAATATTAGCAAAATGACACCAACCAGATAGCTAATAGTGTTTGCGCACTATGAGTACACGATGTTTCGCTACTCTCTCCATCCATTCCTTTCACTTCTCAGGTCACATCTCTTCTTAGGCATAATTTAACTTTTCAAATTTTGTTTGCATAGAAAATGACTAAGTGACTATTCACACTATCTTTGGATTACTTTTTATGGTGTAATAGATATATTCTGATACTCTCATTAGTAAAATGTGCGTCATTTACACGTCTGGTACCTTCATTTATAATCAGCTGTAGAAGAATATTGGTTACGGTGGATTAATTTAGCAAGGACCTGTGAATTTCTCGCAAAGTATATGCTACTCAATACTATGATCAGTCAATTTTAATTGTTTGTCTGTATGTGAATGCTTTATAGTCAGGTTTAACAGAATATTATCTTATAATTTATGACATATTTACTCTTCGTCATACTTGATGTGTTGTTCGAATAATTTGTGACATCAAGAAGTATGTACAGTAAGTGTGGGATTTAAGTTTATAAATGCTTGAGAAAATTTATCACACATTTCATGAATTATTATATTTTTGTAAAATGCACTACTTTTGCTGTGCAAGTATGAATAAGAAATTAGAAGAAAAATTTTCAAAAATACTCTA